GGCCCGGCCAGGTGCACGTACACAAAGTAGGCAGGGAGGAGGAAGGTAAACACGTACACAGGTAGCAGGTATCCCTAGCTACAAGTTGTAATCGCGAGTTTTTTCCTAACAGAATTGCAATCGCTAGATGATCGCCGTGATCCCTGGGCATGCGCTGGACGAAATCTCCTACCGTGATACTCGTTTCCTCTTTCTCCATATCTGTCTCACCGACTCCCTCATATTCAGTTTCCAAAAAAACCTAATCCAAAGTCACCATGGCAGACCGTGGGCGTTCAACAATTCCCTGCCGCCCTCTAGTGACATTGAAGGCCGGTGAACCGTCCCTGCCATCCTCCCCACCTCTGCTAGTCTAGTCCCTGCTTCAATCAAATCCTTCTCGCTGCTCCTGCTAGTTCGCCAGTTCGATCGTTCTCAACAGCCAAGCCGTCAAGGTGTGTAATTTCCATCATCTCAAATACCGAATGGATGTGTAGCACATGTAGCAAATTTATGTTTAATTTGAATTCAAATTACATTGCGGTTTACAATTCTATCATTTATTAGGATTGAGATATATATTTATCTAACAGATGCCTCTAGGAAAAGTTCATAGAAATTGTTCGAAGATAATATTGGTATGATCATCAAAGACTTTACATCTATGGACTGATAGATTTTTTAAAAAATAATATATATGAGTTATTCATTATATAAATTTTGATTTTGGATGCATCTTAACTTTTTTTATTATATAATTTTAGTATATATCATTATTTTGATGATTACATTAAGGGCCCCTAGTTCTAGTGTTGCCCCGGGCCCCTGAAATGTCAGGTAGTACATTAGCCCATAATTTACCTGTTCCGTATTATACGGTTGTGTAAAAAATGTTTACCATATTCTGCCTGTTATTTTATTTCTAATAACTTGTTCACTTGCCAAAGAAAATATTTTTTATTTGGTATGTCAAGGAATGATCATCAGGAAAAATATTAAATATTGGACGAAGTACTGCCTGGCAGGAAAAGAAATGTTAGTCTATTTTTATGTAGTGGAGATAGCACACTCTAGCCCAACACATGTACACTTTGGCCTAATTCAATCCTACCATAAGAAGAATACAATCCTTTCTCCTGAGTCAGAGTCTATGACCATCTTCCTAGAAATTATAGTTAGTGTTATCTTATTATGTTCCTAGAAACAAAAACATATTCACGATACTGTACACTGTTATATATCTAAGTTATAATGATGGAGTCAACTTAGCAATCGGATTTGTTGTTTTTGCTCTATATCTAGTTGTTTATGATAGTATTTTGTTATCTAGCACAAAATTCGCTTTTTATTTCTTTCCAGGATTTATATTTGTTTCCATTTTTTCTAGAAAGCAGGAAAACAAAATATGTTATCACTTAGTCCTCTCCATCTTTGTCCCTAGTTCCAGACAATGAATGACATGTACCTTCATAAATGTTCCCTTTTCATGATTTATATTTTAAAGAAAAGAATTGCATGCATGCATATATAGCATTTTTGTCATTCCGGCGCACGGATCAAATAAGTTAACCATTTCCCCTCATCTTACAATAAAAAGAATTTTGCATGCTCCAAGAAAATTCAAAAAAAAAAATTGCATGCATCTTTCCATAATGCAAGCAGGGTGATGATCGTGCTTGGCTACTAACGATGAATTTCAAAAGAAAAACAAAATGTACTTTATAAATAAAAAAATAAGCACGTGATTTTAGTCAGGCCACTAATATCTTTCGCTGATCCACTTTACAATAAGAAATGTGTACTAGCTTCAAAAAAAATAAGAAATGTGTACGCACCGCAACTTTTCTTCTTCTTTCAAATCAAAGCACAAGTCATAAAAAGTAGAGCGTGTCTCATCTTTTCACACACACGTTACGCGCACATATGGCTGGTCTCCAGGAAAGTAGGCGTTTAGTATTCTACAGTGTCACTAGATCCTACTCTCTTCGTTCCAAAATAAATGACTCAACTTTATACTAACTTTGTACTAAACACGAGCCATACCGTGGGCGTCACCTTCCTTTCCACAGCACCACGGCCACTTCGACGCTATAAAAAACTACGCAGAGCATCGCACATACACACGGCCAGAGTCAAAGGTACAGAGTTCAGACACCATTTATAGGAGCAATGAGCCGAATGCATCTTTCTAATGCAGAGGCCGGGGTAATACCCCTTTTAAAAAAAACATTTATAGCAGCAGTGGCGGCGACACCATGCGTGCTCCGGCAAGCCTCCTGCACCGAGCCACCCCTCGCCACCACCAGCCCCGGCGAGCCGTCGTCGTCGCCGGTGAGCATGCAGGTCCCGGAGCAGCAGCGGCAGCAGAGGGCGCCCGTGATGGCAATGAACTCGGACATGGTGGTCATCCTGGCGTCGCTCTTGTGCGCGCTCGTCCTCGCCCTCGTCACCCACTGCGCATGCAGACGCCGACGCTACGCCAATTCTCCTCCTCCCCCCAAGGGCCTCAAGAAGAAGGACATCGATGCTCTCCCCACCGTCTCCTTCGCTGCCGCGGCTCCAGCGTGTCAAACAACATTCCTGTGTACGTGTCAAGGGGCTGCGCATTATCTTCTCTGATCAATATCTTGGTAGTTCGGCTAGGTGGTTAGCTAGAGTTTATCTCCTCTTTGTAATCTTATCTCTACTTAGCTTCTTCTTCAAGATGTAATCTAAACTGTATGCGCTATCAGGGAGGTGCGCCCCTGCCTATAAACACGTACGGCGTCCCCTCCGATTGAGGTACGACGCTTTCCGCCATCGCACATGGTAATCAGAGCAATTCTCTTCCACGTCTAAACCCTAGAACTCCATCCAGTGCAACTATGTCGTCCTCCTCCTCCGCCAGTGCCTCCCAGGCTGGCCCCAATGGCCAAGTCACGGAGAGGCTCTCCCGCACCAACTACGTCCTCTGGCGCGCACAGATCGTGCCGCAGCTGAGGGGCGCAGGAGTCTTCGGCTACGTCGATGGCACGACGCCGGAGCCGGCCAGGATCCTCCACACCAAGGACAAAGAAGGGAAGGAATCCACAGAGCCGAATCCCCTCCACTCCATCTGGGTGCGAGAGGACCAGTAGGTGCTCGGGTACCTGCTGAACAACCTCACCAAGGAGGTGCTCGTGCAGGTGACCGCGATCACCACGGCGCGCGAGCTCTGGACGGCGCTGTCGGGGATGTTCTCCTCGCAGTCGCTGAGTCGCGTAAACAACATCAGAACCTCTCTGGTGAACGCGCAGAAGGGCAACAAGACCGTCGCCACCTACTTCGCCGAGATGCGCGGCTTCGCCGACGAGCTGGCCGCCGCCGGAAAACCTCTCCAGGATGATGAACTCATCTCATACATCTTGCACGGCCTCGACATGGACTACCAGCCACTCGTTTCTGCCCTCGACGCCCGCATCACCCCGGTATCCCTCGATGAGCTCTTTTCAATGCTTAGCAATTTTGATCAAAGGGTGGCGCAGTACCAGGGATCGGGCGGCTTCAAGTCGTCGGCTAACGCCGCGACGCGCGGGCGCGGTGGCTACGCTCGTCACCGTGGCCCCCCTCGCTCCAAGGGCAAGCAGGGAAGCGGCGGCAGCAACGGCGGGTCCAACTCCCGCGGACGGCCCAACTACACCAACACCAGGGGTCGTCGCGGTGGTTCCTCCAGATCACGCCCGGACGCGGTGCGCTGCCAAATCTGCGGCAAACCGGGCCACACGGCAAAAGATTGCTGGTATCGGTTCGATGAAGATGAGGCCTCCTCTGAAGATGAAGAAAAGGTTGCCGCTGCTGCTGACGGCTCATATGGCGTCGATACCAACTGGTATCTGGACAGCGGCGCAACAAATCATCTCACCGGCGAACTGGAAAAGGTGACACTCAAGGAAAAGTATCATGGCAAGGACCAGATACACACTGCAAGTGGTGCAGGTATGAGGATACGTCACATTGGTCATTCAGTCTTTCGTACCCCACGTCGAAAATTTCATCTTCGGAAAATTTTGCATGTCCCTAGCACTGACAAGAACCTTCTATCCGTTCATCGTATCACACTTGATAATCATGTTTACATTGAATTTCACCCTTTTTTCTTCTTGATCAAGGATCAGGTCACGAGGAGAACTCTCTATCGAGGTAGATGTGTTCGAGGTCTTTACCCGTTGATTCCGGAGCTTCAACAACACAATAAACAAGCTTGTGGTGCTATCAAGCTTTCGGCCACACGATGGCACGACCGTTTAGGGCATGCTTCATTTTCCTTAGTTGATCGTTTACTCAAAAAGAATAAACTCCCGTTTGTTGGGGACCGAAATATTGAAACCATTTGTGATTCTTGTCAGAGAGCAAAAAGTCATCAACTTCCATACCCTGTTTCTACTAGTGTCTCTACTCAACCATTGCAATTAATTTTTTCTGATGTATGGGGCCCTGCCCCAAGTTCTGTTGGTAGACACACATACTATGTCAGTTTCATTGATGACTATAGCAAGTTCTCTTGGCTCTACCTTCTTAAAAAAAGGTCTGAAGTTTTTCAAGTCTTTAAAAACTTCCAAGCTCTTGTTGAACGGCAATTTGATAGGAAAATTCTTGCTGTCCAATCTGACTGGGGTGGAGAGTACGAAAAACTCAACTCCTTTTTCCAAACACTAGGAATTTCTCATCATGTGTCATGCCCCCACGCTCATCAACAGAATGGGTCTGCAGAACGCAAGCATAGGCACATTGTTGAAGTTGGCCTTGCTCTCCTGGCCGGAGCTTCTATGCCCTTAAAATTTTGGGATGAAGCATTCCTCACGGCTGTACACATCATAAACATGCTCCCCAGTAGGGTTATCAACAACGAAACTCCTATAGAACGACTCCTTCGTGTAAAACCAGACTATAAATCACTTCGTGTGTTTGGATGCGCATGTTGGCCAAATCTCCGCCCCTACAACAAACGCAAACTTATGTTTCGCTCCAAACAGTGTGCGTTCCTTGGGTACAGTGCTCAGCACAAAGGTGTCAAATGCTTAGACATCTCGTCTGGTCGAGTCTACATCTCTAGAGATGTTGTTTTTGATGAGACAAAATTCCCCTTTGCTGATCTTCACCCCAACGCCGGCGCCTTACTCCGTCAAGAAATATTACTCCTTCCACCTCATCTCTCCGGCTATCATCAAGGGGGCCACGAAAACTGTGATGATCATTTGCTGACTAATCCTCCTAACCATTTGCATGAGGCTTGTGATGTTCCAGGAGATCATAACGGCGAAAATGGTGAAGAAAATGACGAAAACAGTGCAACGCAATGTTCATATCGCGTGTGTCACGGCAGAGGGAGCAGATCCGCCTCGGGATCCGGCGCGCCAGGTGCACCAGGTGAATCCGCCTTGGGATCCGGCGCGTCAGCTGCAGCAGGCGCATCCGCCTCGGGAACCGGCGCATCAGCAGCGGCGGGTGGGCCTGCCTCGGATCCAGCCGCGAGCGACTCCGCGTTGGCCACGCGGCCGGCTGTAGCTGGTGGTGGCGGCTTCACCAGCCCGCACCAATCAGCGGCTGCCATGTGCCAACCTCCCACGGGTCCGATCGGCTCGCGGTTCGGCACCCAACCGGCTGCAGCAGGCGCTGGCGCGGGATCAGATGCCTGCCTCGATCAGACCGTGGTCGCTGGTCAGGCGGGATCTTCTGCGCCGGTTTTCTCTTCAATACCACAACCGCGAGCCACAGAAGATCATCCAGGAGCAGAACCAGCCGAAACTGCTGGTGTAGGCGGATCCGCCTCGGATCTGGCGCAGGTGGATTCATCTGCCGGATCTTCTGTGGCGCAAAACAACACTGGTGCACCACAATGTCGCACACGGCTGCAATCAGGGGTAACTAAGCCTGTTAATTATAAACGCATAACAAAATATGGCTTAATCTGCTCCACAGGGGAACCAGGTGAGCCCAATACGCTTGAAGAGGCCCTTGGCGATGAGAAGTGGAGAAAGGCAATGCGTGAGGAGTATGTGGCACTACAGAAAAATAAAACTTGGCATTTAGTCCCTCCAAGGCAAGGTAAAAATCTCATTGATTGCAAATGGGTTTTTAGAATCAAACGCAAGTCTGATGGAACAGTTGATCGTTACAAGGCAAGGCTAGTTGCTAAGGGTTTTAAACAAAGATATGGCATAGACTATGAGGATACATTTAGTCCGGTGGTAAAAGCTGCAACTATTCGTCTTGTCCTATCCATTGCTGTTTCCAGGGGATGGAGTCTTCGACAGTTAGACGTACAGAACGCGTTTCTTCATGGTGTTCTGGAAGAGGAGGTTTACATGAAACAACCTCCTGGGTTTGAAAGCAAACATGCACCCTCTTATGTATGCAAGCTTGACAAAGCACTGTATGGACTGAAGCAGGCCCCTAGAGCATGGTATTCTCGACTCAGCAAGAAAATGCAAATGCTTGGATTTGTTCCTTCAAAGTCTGACACTTCACTGTTTATTTACAATAAGGCCAATACATCAATATTTGTTCTTATATATGTTGATGATATTATTGTCACAAGTTCATCTGATGAGGCAATAACAGGACTGTTGAAGGACTTAGGTGCTGAATTTGCTCTGAAGGATCTTGGGGACCTGCACTATTTCCTAGGGATTGAAGCGAAGAAGCACAAGGATGGACTTCATCTCTCCCAAGAAAAATATGCAAATGATTTGGTAAGAAAAGCTGGGTTGCAAGGCTGTAAACCTACCACCACTCCTTTGTCTAGTACAGAAAAATTGTCTCTCACAGAAGGAACACCCTTGAGCTCAGAAGATAGCACAAGATACAGAAGTTTGGTGGGTGCACTTCAATATTTAACTCTCACTCGACCTGATATTTCTTTTGCTGTTAACAAGGTGTGTCAATTCCTTCATGCACCAACCACAGTTCATTTGACTGCTGCAAAACGGATAGTAAGATATGTGAAAGATACTATGGGCATTGGCCTCAATTTTAGCAAGTCATCTTCCACTCTTGTTAGTGCATTCTCTGACTCAGATTGGGCAGGATGTTTGGATGATAGACGCTCCACTGGTGGTTTTGCAGTATTTCTTGGATCAAATCTGATCTCTTGGTGTGCCAGAAAACAAGCTACTGTTTCAAGGTCCAGCACAGAAGCAGAGTATAAGGCACTAGCTAATGCTACTGCAGAAATTATATGGGTACAATCCATTCTCAAGGAACTTGGTGTAAAACTCACTCAAGCTCCATGTCTGTGGTGTGACAATTTGGGTGCAACTTATCTTTCAGCAAATCCAGTCTTTCATGCAAGAACGAAACACATTGAGAGTAAACTTCTAGACATTCGATTTATACATTCTCAAGACCAGGTTGCAGATGGGTTTACTAAAGCCTTGCCCATACGAAGCTTTGAGAACTTCAAGTATAATCTCAACTTGATGAAGTTGTGATTAAGGGAGGGTGTCAAACAACATTCCTGTGTACGTGTCAAGGGGCTGCGCATTATCTTCTCTGATCAATATCTTGGTAGTTCGGCTAGGTGGTTAGCTAGAGTTTATCTCCTCTTTGTAATCTTATCTCTACTTAGCTTCTTCTTCAAGATGTAATCTAAACTGTATGCGCTATCAGGGAGGTGCGCCCCTGCCTATAAACACGTACGGCGTCCCCTCCGATTAAGGTACGACGCTTTCCGCCATCGCACACAGCGCAGTCATCGTCGTCGTCGTCGTCAGAATGCGGGATCTGCCTGGCCGAGTTCATGGAGGGGGAGGGACTGCGCGTGCTCCCGCAGTGCGCCCACGGCTTTCATGTCGCATGCGTCGACGCCTGGCTACGGACCTGCGCCACATGCCCCTCCTGCCGCGCCCCCATGGTTGCCACGCCCGCGACTCCCACTGTGGTGGTCGTAGTGGCGGCAAACAACAGGTGCGAGAGGTGCGGCGATCGAGATGGCGGCGCCTAACGGTGGCGTCGAGAACATGTCCTTACCCCTATTTTCTTCATTCTCTGCTTTTTAGCTAGCCTGGCTGTCGATCTGATGTCTCTTGACAGGCTAGACTTGTGTTTACTTAAGATTTGTAATTTAATCAGGCCCTGTACTGGCTTGCTGCATTCGGCGCCCAGCTAGTACTCGTGCAAGTGGCCATGAACAAGTCACCTACTCTCTGCGATATTCACCTCTTGTCCTCTTCGTTTATCGGCCGGGACAAATCACCAGTTAATCTTCTTCCTTTTTCTTTTGCGGGTGAAAACAATGTATTACTCATCACCAAGGTTCATACAATCAATCACAGCTAGCTCTCCAGAACCTAACCAAGTCATGGTTTCTACCCTAAAGGCGAGAAAATTTTGCTACCACTTCATCTTCTTTGACCTGGAACAAATCATTGAGCATCTCGTTCAATTGAAAATAGCTTCAGTTTCGTCTTGGTTTTGACACCAAATGGTTGCCATCGACCATGGATTAGGGGTCTGGCAGTCCTCTTCGGACTAAAATAATCCTAAGTATCGTGCACGTGCGGCATGCATGCATGCGTGTCTGATCACACGCAGCGCAGCCGCACTAGCTAGTGATTTAAAGTTGATGCGCGAGTGAGATAATGATAGTGGCTGACGACTCAGTTAGTTGGCTGATTATTCAAGCACGTGCTTCCGGAGACACAACCTAACATATAACACGGGATTGATCATACACAATAGATAGTTGCTACTTTCCATGGGGTCATGTCTCAACCAATGGAGTGGAGTTTTGCATGCACAGATTAAATAATAAAAGATGACCACTTGAGTTCAAAAGTTCATACCTTGCCCCTCACGATCTTCTCGGCTCTTGTCGGCTCCCGCCGAAAATGGTGCCTATTTCATACGAAATCGATGGTCCGTTCGGAGTGCATCACAAAGCAAAGGCAAAATTAAGCGTGTTTTCCTTGTGGGGGGAAATCAACTAATCGTGGGATAAGCCAAAGTGTCTTCATTCATTAAGGCACTATGTCGATATCTTCTTAAATAGGGAATAAGATAGGGATATTCCTGGAAAAAGATAGGATAGAGATGGTTAAATATGCAGTCATACTTTTCATTCCATTATTTTTTTTAAACACAGTACAGACGCAGATGCTCATACATACTCACATACACTCATCCAAATGAATGCACGCATGCACATCCTATCCCTATTAACACCTCCGAGAGTCTGTGCCGGCACGTCACCTTGAGATTGACGAAGTCGCCAGACGCCTTCGTAGTCGAAGGAAACGTCTCCTAATGACCACACATCGTCGGAAGGCCTGTAATAAATCCAAGAAAACACGAGCACTAATGTCAAGAATGAGATTTGAAGTCCGGTGGGCAGGGGATACCATTGTCCTCCTAGTCGTCATCAGCCACAGGTAGGTTCGCCTTGGCATTCCATTAGATAATTGCTCGTGTGGTACAACAAAGGTACAATAATTTAGTATGTTAGCACATTTACCTGCTGATATTAACATGATTGTCGCAAATAATATGACTTTGTTTGGTAAGTGTTTATTAGCTTACAATAACTGGTGGGGCACTTGAGGCGGTTTTCAAAAAAACTCATGAAAAAAGCAGGAGATGGAAAAAATCCAAACAGGAAGATAAAGGACGAACATACGTAAAACTGGACGAATGAGGAGCAGTCGACGTGACCTTATGTCTGTTTTAAATAGTAGAGAGATTCCAACTCCTTTTCTACTATCCCTATGTATGACCTCTTTGATTCACATGATTTCCAAAGCATTTTCTTAGAGATTTTGGAGGAGGCTACCTTGGTCCCTGCTGGCATTAGCCATTGCAGGAAGGGTCATAAGCAGTACATTATGGACCATATGTAGGACCTGCAACATCATATGACAGAAAACCCCTGGGTCATCAATCCATTCAAGCGCCAACCAAGATTCTCTCCACTTGGACGCACCTAGTCCACTCGAACGCTTAGCAATGACTCGGACAAAGGAAGACGGGTGGCCAACGCGGACTCTGAAGCGTTAAGAGGCGCATATCTTCATGTGTTACTAGTATTCAATGCTATAGTTACCATGTGTAACGCTTGTAATGATCTCCTCAATCAAACCTCCATGTAACGTAGCTAACCCAAGGGGCGGCACACTCTATATAAGCTGCCCCGTAGCACAGGAGCAGGGGTTCGCATCCATTGTAATCCTTGGATACCAGAGAAGAACATAGCATCCGGGCTTAAGACGTAGGGTTCTTACCTCCTCCGTGATGGGCCTGAACTCATAAAATCCGTGTGTCAAGCTTGCACCGTAGCTGAGCCTTTGTTTGTACCCCTAGTACTCACTGTCAGAGTAATACCCACGACAGTCCGCATGTCTGCCTCCACCTATGACCTTGCGGTCGAGGAAATCTAAAAAGACACGGGGACACACTAGTAGAAAAAGGGTCAAATGTTCACCCCTTTAGCCCCGGTTTGTATTTGAGCCGGCACTAATGTGATCATTAGTGCCGGTTCGAATGGCTATGCATTAGTGTCGGTTCGTAATGAACCTTTAGTACCGGTTCGTGCCACGAACCGGTACTAAAGGGGTGGTGGCAGGCTGGCGTCAGGCCAGGGCCCCACGAGCCCCTTTAGTGACGGTTTGTGACACAAACCGGTACTAAAGGTCTAACCTATAGTACCGGTTTGTGTCACCAACCGGCACTAAAGAGTCTTAACCTATAGTCCCGGTTGAAGACACAAACCGGCACTATAAGGCAATTTTCAAACTCTACCACCCCACCCCCCCACCCCCCACCCCCGTATCGCCATTTCAGTTTTGAAAAAAACAAAAGAAAATGATAAAAACTTCAAAAAATAAAATCCTTCAAGAGGTTGTTATATTACTACATCTACTAGTTAGGATAATTTGAAAACTTAAATTTAGACATGTTTTGCAAAAAGTGTAGGGAAAATGTAAAACGGCTATAACTTTTGCATACGATGTCGGAAAAAAACGTATAATATATCAAAAAATTCAGCACGAAAATCCGCATCCGATGGAGACTGCCTATGGCTTGTTTGCAATTTTTTAGAATCCTCAAATTCCAAAAGGAAAAAAAGATATGGTCAAATTTCAGTTTTTTTAAAAAAAATTGGTTAAATCTGGTTAAACTACTTATTCAAGAAGTATTAATGTTACTACATAATTATTCAAGAATATTAGTGTTACTAAATAATTATTTCAATTTTTTGAATTTGGGTCAAATCTGGTCAAACTATGGTCAAACTGTGGTCAAACTATGGTCAAACTTATTCAAGAAATATTAGTGTTACTAAATAATTACTGTTTTTTAGAATAATAGTTTCAAACTCAAACAGTGAAATGTGTGACTTCATGCTCAAGCTAAACTCCTGAGGGTTAATAGGATTGACATCTTACTATTGTCAGGAAAACAACAAGTGCAGACTTGGAAACGAAGGAGAATAGAACCCGAAAGTTAAACGTGCTCGGGTTGGAGTAGTGAGAGGGATGGGTGACCGGTCGGGAAGTTAGATGATTTGGAATGAGTAATCCACACTTGAGCAGTTAAGAGAGATGATTAGAGACTAAATCATCAAATAATTCAGAAAAAATAAAAATCAAAAAAATTTTACAAAATTTACAAAAAAAAAACCTTTAGTACCGGTTGGTAACACCAACCGGTACTAAAGGTCCCCCATACCAGGGCGCGAGCTCACGCCACGTGGTGGCACTTTAGCGCCGGTTCGTGCCGAACCGGTACTAAAGGGGAGGGGGCCTTTAGTGCCCACCCTTTAGTGCCGGTTATGGAACCGGCACTAAAGGCCCTTACGATCCGGTTTTAAATCTCCGTTTTCTACTAGTGACATCCAGGCTTAAACCATTAAAACCCAACTTGTGTGTGTGTTTTTAAGTGTCTTCCGCTCGCTTCAGTTTTTGTTGTCATTTTTTTTGCGGGTAGTGTTTGTAGTTGTTGCTAGGTGGTCTAGAGACAACGGTATAATTTATGTCACATTTGATGAATTGATGTTCTTTGTAATGCCAATGTTTTTCGTGCTAAAAAATGACAATTTAATCAAGATATAATAGCAAAGCTCAAAAGTTTTTCTATGGGAGTATAGCAAATCTCATCTTAACTAGTTATGATTGGTCCATAGGTACACGTTTGTTACTGGTTCAGCCACTCACTAGCTACAGTGTCGCTGGATTCTGGTGCTGGCTTTCCACGTACACTATTGATCCAAGGGAAAAATCTAAAATAAACCTTAAACTTGTAGATGAAAGCTAAACCAAATCTTGAACTTTAAATCCCGGAAATCAGCACACCAAATTATTTGATCCCGGTCTATTTTAAACTTTGAGCATGTTCTAAGGGGATTGTCCACGTGACAGGCAAGGCTGCGGCCGGACGCGACTGACGCGAAGCACATTTTTCTTTAGTGTAACGATACCCAGAAAATAGACTCACGTGGAATCGAACTAGAGATCTGATGGTTTTTATCTCAGGCAGCTAGCCAGTCTAACCAGTAACTCTTGGTGATTACAGATAAGCGCAAAACTATCTAACAACTTACCGCAATGTCGAGATTTGAAGTTTATTTTGATTTTTTTTTGAAGCATTACTCTGAAAGTTGTCAACAATTTTAACATACACATATTCTTAAAAGCAAAAAGTAAAATAAAAGTCCAAACATTTTTTTGCAAAAATTGAACATTTTTTGTAATTACGTCCTTTTTTGACAGCATGAAACATTTTTTAAATACCCAAACATTTTTTAAATTGCGAACACTCTTTGAAAATATGAACAAATTTTTGAAAACTTTAATTTTTTAAACCTGAATTTTCTTTAATAGTGCGAACACTTTCTAACTTTTTAAAAAATGGGAACATATTTGCAAAAAAAATTGCACTTTACAGTTTTGTTCAGGTTTCAAAATTGTTTGGCTTTTTCAATAAGTGTTTGCACATAAAAAATTCTTTGGA